CCACACCATATCCTGTTGAAGTGTAACTGTAATACATTTGTAATACATTTACATCCTGTTTGCATTACATGTACATGTAGGCTATAAAAATGTACAATGTATGTGCACATTCAACAGAATGATTTCAGCCTCAAGAGTATTGCACACAATATGTGCCTTTGTCTCCTATTTGTACATGTACATGTCATTTCTAAATGCAGTATGCCCATATTTTTGGCTTAAAGACCACTGGAAAATTCTGAAAGAACCACCGAAGTTGACTGAACACTTTGGAAAGGTGTTATCGACTCCTGAGAGCCACTTTAAATTTGTGATATACCTCACACATGGTCTACCAAGGAATATTTAGAATGTCAGGACCATCATTCCTCACAAAATTAAACTTTCAAATCCAAAATACGATTTCCTACATCCTTCACACCCCTTCCATCATGCAGGTCACCACCCTCCTGCAACAATAATATCACAGCAGACAGTGGCTGTTAGATATCAGTAAAACCTCAACGTACCAGGACAGCTACGACACTCAGCTTGCTATCACTGGAGCTGGGGACGTGTTGCTTGAAAGGATCAGGACAACACAGATACAAAGTACAAACGTTATACTCTTCTCAAGAGTGATGCCATTATGACTGCCTGTAATCATTAACCTGACAGGAAAGGGAGGGGGGAGACCCATCACAAGACCTCCTCAGTCGAGACAACAGGTTGTAGAGATCATTTAGGATAATCTTCCGCTCTGCCGGCTTCAGTAAAACCTACACTGTACAGCAGGTTGACGAAGATCACCTTTGATAATGTGCATGGTGCACTTGGTACACTCATGCTGGAGCAGCAATTTGGTGTTAAATGAAACTGGTGATTCTTCAACTCAGATTATCTGTCCATGAAACTGTAGATTCTTCCATTCCCACTTAAAACCCTATAAATATAATTTGAAATTCCACCTTACGCTACGAAACAAAACACCCGCCTTATTTTGATCAAATACTTCTGTAACCTCGCAAAAAATCCAAACTTGCATTTCAACAAAACTTCAAAATATCCAACAGCACAGGCTTTCAGAATGTCTCTTTTTTCCACGTTTTCTTTTTCAAATTTTCAGTGAGCACTAAAAGCTCTGGACTTTTCTCCACAGCAGAGAAATATCTACCAAAGTTTGTTGCACTAAGAGTGGAAAACCTTGCAGACAATAAAACAAATGATAAAAAAGTACATGTATGCAGTAAAGTTTGAGTGGCAATACAAAATAACATAAAGCAGGGACAAACATGGGAGTTCATTAGACTGAAGCATCAATGCCTACAAGTGCATCAGGAGGCATCCTGTTCATTTTTGTTTCTTGCTGGGCCACATTCAATTTGTGACAGTCCACTATTCGTCAATTTTTAGCTGGTCCCCAGGATGTATGTTGAACACTGATTACCAGGCAGAATCGACCAGTTGTTGATAATTGGTTGCTGATCCGGCTTGGCCCATACATGCCTTGGACACACCATGTACGGATACTGTGTAACGTCAACTAGATACCAATACACATTTGGGCTCAAACGTGACGATGTGGCTGGCTACCCGTGACTGTTCAAGACAATCTTGTTCAATTTCCCTTTTAGGATCATGTTGAGCCAAAAGAGCTGCTCAACAATTATTCAAGAGTAGAAACTTCTTCCTGGGTGTACCAAAACTGATAAACAGGAAAGTAATGAGGAGTTCAAGAGAAAAGGAAACTCAAGACCAACACGACTTTTACCAATTTATGATGGCATACCGGTGCGTGACAAGTTAAAAAACAAAGAAAAAATCTGCAGATCCAGAGAAAATTTGCCCACCTCTGACGTGCATTGGAAAAACTCTAAGCAGCTTAATGGAGTCATACAAAAATTTTGGAAATGTAATTGTTTAAAAATGTGCACTTTTCAATTAAACTAAAAATAGGTGCCTAAAGGCAAAAATCATGCCCTGTGCCCTGTAATTTAACATCCAAATACATGTACAGATTACAAAGAAAAGGGAAAATGAATTTCCTGGCAATTATCAAAAACAGAACAAAAAAATTATTCTGCCTCTTCCCTATGTTAGCTTCCTCCAACCAGGCATGACGATTGGAGACAGAATAGGCAACACAAGGTTTCCTATATCAGTTACCATGGCAATACTAACCTCATCTTTGCACTGTGGACTCACCACCTGATATGTACCCCCCCTCCTCTTCTGAATGGCTCTAACGGCACAGACCGCACGCCAGATGGGAAACATGCTTAATGCAGACCCTAAGCAACTGGTGTCCGGGTCCGAAGCTAGACCATGCAGACAACTGAATACGCCGAATTGATTACATGTACAAAGCCATCTTAAGGGTTTTTTTCAATGAGCCCTCTGAAATGTATTAATCACTGACCGTAATAATTTAACTTGGAACAATACTGCATGATGTTTGTGTAATAACTGTATACTACAGCCCAGTTTTTTTGTGGGTAAACTCATGTACCACAGAATGTAGGGAATTTCTATTATGTGTACTTTAATGAGTTTTGAAATGATGACATCATTGACATGGTAATGCAAGGGCCCTGTTGGTGTGCGCACATCAAATGAGTTTTGATACGTGCTTGTAAAAAGGACATCATCTTAGCAAAGCATCCTCTATAATCTACGCAACTACTTATGACTAACAAAAAGCCACACCACAGGAAACTCTGCAAATTCGAACCGTTTTAACTTTCTAACATGAGTATGTTAGAACATCACATTTTGAGCATGGTTTCAAATGGCAAATTAGCGGTAAAAGACTACTTTCCACGTTCTGTGAATTCTGCAATAATGCATGCAGGCAACGACATTTAAAGAAACAGATCGTCATTCACCCATTAAAATATCACCTCGTCAAATCAAATATCTTTTTATATATTTACTTTTGCTCCAGCTCAATTGTAATCCTGTTGATCCATGTAAAAAAGTAGCAGTGGGTTTACAGTAATAAATACACAAATATCGGATAACTCAGCATGCATCAGGTACTTGTCAACAATGGCGTTGTTTTGTGATAATTTATAACCAACTATCATCCCGTGGTCTTGTGGTGCTTTTTTTTTTTGGTTTGCACATCATAAACAACTGTTATTTCAATTCCAAGGTTCAAATCCTTTAAACACAGAGGTGCAAAGTCGAGTCCCCTGGGCCGCATTTGTACACGTAGTGTAACATTAGCATTTTCCTCCTTTTCCAACAGTTTTTGAACCGATCTGCCAACACTGTAGAGCAAAGACTAAAGACTTCCAGGACATCTCCAAGAGCAAAACCAAGACTACCTTTCATCAAGCCAAGTGTAATAACACAAGTTCAATGTCATGCATGTATAGCATGTACAGTGCTGTATTTCAAGATAATACTTGAATTGTTCTCTTAAAAACCAATGACCTACACGTGAAATGTCTCTCAATGTCACTGGGATATTTGCCAGTTTTTAAGAATTCTATTCCTGGTATACTTCCTGTTCTCAATTAAAGTCAACTGTGGAATAAAAGTGGCAATGCAAAAAGAAACAAATTGTTAGATTTAAGCTACATGTAGCGGTATGTGTGTGAGTTTCGCATGAACTCATCGGCAGAGCCTGTGCGCACATAATGCTGTATGTGTCGTATTCTTGAACAAAATCCTTGGCAATTTATCATATATTGACTTCTTTTGACTCTCAGACTATCACACCCAGACATGTAGGGGTGTGTATAATACATACGCATGAGTAACTTCTCTAATGTGAACACTGAAGAAACACCAGTGTTACACTTCCACCCAATCCACACAACTAACTGCCCACACTGTGAAAACATACATCACAATCCCACGCTTGACGGCACCAGACTATTCCCCAATGCTTTTGTCCATTGTGCACAACATGCGTACATACCGGTACACATGGGTACATGTACATGTGTACGTGTAAGCCCACAAGTCCTTTGTGGGCAATCTGTCCCTGAAAGGCAGCCCTTCAGCCTGTGCATGCTGGATGCTCGCACTTCATAGAGGTCCTTGAATCAGTCAGTGCATTCAAACGTTCTACTGAGGTCAAGTCTTGGTTCCCGTCTTCAGTTCACAAACTGGTGTTCAAACTACTGATTCCCTAGATGGGTTGTCTTTTTCCGTGCATGTTTATGCCACTGTACATGTTTGTCTTGCGTTTCTAACACCACGTCAAATTATACCACAGGAGATGACTGCAAAGTCTCATTAGGGCCTTGTACTAAGCAATCTAACTCTTTAGTTTTCTAAATTCTTAGAGGATGATATTTTATGCCTTCTTGCAAACAAATCCTGAGCCTTGCAGCAATAAAATGTAAATTCTTGGGTCTTTTTCCAACATATAACTTTTCAAATTTGGAGAGAACCCAAGGTTTTCAAAGTTTAAATTTGAGCATCCATTGCCTCTTTGATGTGCAATATCTTGTTAGTACCTATCGTGCGATATACTTGACCACATTTCATTTTTGTATCAACAAAAATTGGGTTAAATTTGCCTGTATTTCAGTGTTCTGCCTGCCCCCCACAAAAATAACAGGGTAAAGGATAAACTACCGGTATGAATCTGAACTTAATCTATTTCAAATTTCTAATCGACGGTAGGTCTTCCTTCTGTTTGTATGAGCAGGCAATGTTTGGAGAAAATCGCCCTGGGTCAGAACAGGGAGGGCCTCAAAAACATCTGCTGCATAACTTTTGAAGAGGGTTATCCGTGTACTTCCACTTAGAATTTAGCAGGTGGTATTTAGTGTGGTCATAGCCACATGTATGGGTACGCAACATTTTTGAACTCTTCATGAAATATTCTTTTGCTAAGCCTAATAGGGACGATCAGCCACTGTTACACAAGAAACATGGCTGTGACTTAGGAAGAGTGAGCTCTACTGGAAGAAGGGGTATCGGTAAAATGGGATCAGTTGACTCTGGTTTGGGCAGAACACTGAAACCGATTAGTTGTTAGGATGATGAATATTCAGACATACCTCTGAGGGTGAATGGGGTATCATACCAGACTTTAAAAGCTTTGAACCGGGCTGTTTCTGGAATGGAATGAAAAATCACGTGTACGGGGGGGAAAAAATCACTAGTGGCCACAATTCAGCATGTTGTGCCCTTCAGCTTTTGTGTCTACTACACCAGGCATAAAGTACAAACAGGTATGAATGTACTCAACTGAGATGTACGCTGCATTTGCCTGTATAATTTGAACCGCAATGGTAACCATCCCTGTGATACTAATTTTCTCTGGAAAACACACCTGAACTCCAGACAAGAAGTTTTGCACGAAGACTTGCTTCTGTTGATTTGTTCCAACTTCAATTTTTTTTCTATCACCTCGAAAACTACGACTTGAAAACACTTCTGGAGACAGGGTCCTGCTTGAAATCTTGTGAAAACATGTTCGCATACATGCAAGGGCAGCAAACTCCCTATCCACTCAAAAGGTTTCCAAACTGTCCAAAGAGATGACCTACATGTACAATATGCATTAGTTTCCTAAAGTACAGAGACTATCATACATACATGTACATGTATTCTATCCTAGTCCAACTACAGATTTTGTTCCTCTCCTTTTAGCACTGTTCTTGAGTAAGACCAAAGAACAGGGGACCCTGACTGGGAAATATGGTCCCTATTCGAAGTTCTGATGGACAATCAAACAAGAAGACAAGTGTTTTCTGCACAACACATTCTTGTTACAAGTACATGTTGTACGTTGTTCCTTACTGAAGTGATTTTCGTGTCTCAAGGTAGCCTAATACTGTATCATCTCAATGGGGCATCTCTGTGCAAGAATCTAAACAAAGGTTGGATGCATCGGCATCAGAGATGCAGCCCGAACAGAAAATGCCCCTACCTTTACCGAAATTCTTTCCAAAGACCCCCCAAAAACCCTGACTTAATATGTACTGACTTTTTTTCAGCTATAAGTTGGAGAAGTTGCCAGTGACTATAAAAAGTCAATGAATGTGACAAACCAATACTGCCTTATTCCACAGTCTCACTAGACCTGGTGCGTGTAAATTCTATCCTCTCACCTAAAATGCACCGCAATACAGGTTTCAGCCAGTTTCATCTTGATTCAACCCCTAAAATTTGTTTTAATTAGTGATGGTATGATTTTGCAGGCTGAGGACAGTACAGGGAAGATTTGGTACTGCAGACATCATAATTACAACAGTATTGTGTGACCCAAAAGGTTAGGAATAGAAAATCTAATGTAAGAAAACAGAGCATCAGCTTAAATCATGTGGATTACATTAGCAAACTTCGATGCGGCCCTGATTCATGTTAGTACTAATACATGCAATTATGGTGAACTTATTCCACAGCCAAAGTCTCGTTACTTTAGAGTACAAAATGTAGATGGCTTTCTAAATAAGAGGAAGCAACTCTTTGAAACTATGTCCCAGGGTGAATTTCGCTGCATATCCATCAATTATAACTCAAGTAAGATGATTACAAAACAGGCTGTAAAGGGCAAGCATTAAGCAACTTGATAACAAACAGGGCCAAGTATGAGGAAGCTCAATTTTTACAAAAAGCGAGACTTTTGGGTGGGAAGGGGGGCTGCAGAAGTTCCCCCCTCCAAAAAAACCCTGAAAGTGTTCAAACTCAATCCATCCCTGTGGTTAAACAGATGACCACTACCTGCACATGTGCATATGCGCATTCGCATCGTAACATGATGAACAAACTGCAAAGAGACCCATAACTTTATGCACTGGTCACTTTAAGGTGGTGCCTGAATGACGACTGCCACACAGACCCAGTGGAAGAACCCACTTCATTTCAACGGAATTATTGGACAGTAGGAGGCAACTGGAGAATGATAAAGAAGACCGGTACTCACATAGTCGTGGAAAGCCTTCGCCTCGCTTGAATGTTCGCATGTTTCCCTCCTCTCCGGTGCTGCACAATACAAATCCCAAAAGACACTGCAAGGACAAATAGAACCATCCAAAGTAAGAATGATACCGAGCCTATCATTACAGAAAATTTACATTACTGTAGAAAAATCAAAAACAGGTGAATTTTTGGTAAACATACTCCTAAAATTGTGCAGTGAACTTCATCTCCTGGTACATGTATAAGCAATTCATTCCATGAGTTCACTTTTCCATGTAGACAACATTGCTTCTTGAAAGTCAATTTGATCCAAATCTTGTTAAAGAATGGGGAAAAAAGAGTAGACCAGAAACAGCAATGAAATACTCAGCATGGAGTACGTGTACCGGTCGTTGTTGTATAAACCAGGAAAGGAGAAAACATGTTCCTTTTTCAGTCAAAAGTAAGCTAAGACCAGCACATTCACTCAAACTCACACACAATCACCAAGAATTGGCAGAGTAGAAAAGAGGTCAAGGTTTTGCTTTACCTACTACATTTTAAACACCAAGGGGGGGGGGACTGGTGTAGTAGATAGACAGCACACTGCCCACATGTGAAGCTCACAAACTAGCAGGGGTTCCATTTGTGATCTTTGAATGTACTGTTCTGCCTCTAGATTGGACATCTTTTATTGCGTGGTGAATGTACATGTAGCATGTCCCAAGTGTCTGACACCAGCATGCAGTTTGAAACCTCATCAATCTCACTTAAATTAGTGTGAAGATAATTGACATACGCAGAAATATCAATTTCAATATTGACACACTTAACAATCACAACTGTCAATATCATTCAAATGTGATAATACACTCTAGGGCAATGCAATTAAATTCAAGCACATTCTGCATTTTGACCTTCATTTGCAGTCGACATAGTAGATGCTTTCTTTACCGCATTTTGATAAACTTTAACGCTAGAGCTTCTGATTTGTGATTCGAACATTCCCTGATGTCCATCACAGGGCTCGAAATTGGGTTAATCATCGCGGGAGCAAGTACTTGCTCCCTTGACGGCTGAATTTGTCAGTTTACAGGTGCAAGTAGCTCCCATAAATTAAAGAAATATGTTCAAGAAAGAAAAAGACTCTGGTCCTTGCCGTTGCTTTGTGTTTAGCAAGGCGATGCTAACAGTCGGGCACCAGGCCTTCATAACGTGCATATGCACACAGACCTAAAAGGGAACCTAACTGCAGCAATCAAGCATTTTCGAAATGAGTGGATTAGGCTGAGACTTTGGTTTTGCTGGTTCCAGCAATTTTTAAGCAGTGTTCAAAATCACATGTTCAAGCTATAACTGGAACCAGCAAAACTGAAGTCTAAGCCGAATCCACTCGTTTGGCTTGAATTTATGCACTAATCTAGGAGGTTGTGGTCGCGGCCAGTTTCCATACAAAATGTGTACATTCCAGCTGTACTGATTCAGACGCAGCCACTGTGCAGACCATTCAGCGAGATTGCGACACTGGCTGCAGGTATGCATGTGCACCTTCATGTGTGTGCATGCATCGCATGAGAGACTGCGGCGTGTGCTTGGTGACGTCATAAAAAAATTGTACTGAGATATGGTTCTGTGACAAGGCTGATCCGAAGTGAAGTCAAAAAGTATTTTCATGACAAAAGTACAAACAAACGGTAAAAATGTTCAGGTACATGTACATGTATTTTTCATTACAATATGGAATCAAATGGGCGTAAGTACTTGCGCCCGTCTTTATGATTTATGGGTGCATTTCTAAGACAAACGGGTGCCTTTTAGTTACCTGCACCCGTTAATTTTTAGCCCTGTATCAAGGACTATGCAGGATTGCTGGAGGAAGAACCAGTTTGCATATGGCATAATGTCCACCCAAACTTAAAGGATTAAGAATGTGCACAGTAGCTGCAAAATTCAGCAGTTTCTTAGGGAAAAAACTTGGCAGGTTACAATAAGAATATACCAAAGGCCCCATCAATTATAAGGAATGAAAATAAAAAAAGTCTGACACCTTTCCTTTTAAAATTACTGGTCGGATGTCTTTTCAGAATTGTTCATGCAATTTTTCAGATCAACTTTATCTGCAATGTAAAAGCTGAATTAACAGGCTGTAAGACAAAGTACATGCAAATACGTGCACATTGTACAGAGCTGTGATAACGTTATTTATACAGCCTGCAAGACATTTGGGAAAGTTACAGTTTCAGCAAGAGTGCCCCCCCCTCCAAGTTTAAATACAGGACAGGCCTCCCAGTCTCTGCAACTGTGCAACTGTGCTAGAGTAAGTGTAGTGCAGCGGCACCTTTGAGTACCCTCAAAGCATGTGTTTTTCTTAGGGATGTACAAGATTCCTCGCATTCTGCCTCTCCTGGGAGAGCGGGGAAGGAGGATGAGAACTGGATGCCTAGGATAGCTGATCAAGTGACGGGCAGAGACTGGCCACCAGTCCCACCCCATCAACAGCATTCAATTGGTGGTTGGACCATGAAAAACTCTGGGAGTTACAAGTACAAAAACTGTGATAATCAAAATAATGCAGGCAGAAAATAACTGGGGACTTGGTAGTGGTGATTTATTATGCTTAAATCTGACACAGACAGCAGGACTTTCTAGACATCAAGTCTATGCCAAATCCTACAAAATTCTACGTAATTTGCATCCGAACATAAGCTTATGCTTACTGCTTACTATACCGGAGAGAACCCGGATTGTACCAGTTTTTACAGCACACTTTGTACCACTCGGATCCGGTTCAGACTGGTTCACGCATCTACTCTCAGCAAATCATGTGTCAAATTTTACAGCCATATGCATGGTCACAAGTTAACAACAACTGTCACCAGCTAGGTCCTCCTTTGCTCTATAACCTTGAGAATGAACAAACCCTTAAACTGGAATTCTCTACCCAACATCTACATGTACATTAAAACTGCAAAGGAAGAAGAAAGTGTCACACCTTCAATGTCTACAGGTAGAGTCAGGGTGTTCTATCCTACTGCACAATACATGTAATTGGGACAAAATTCTGTACCCGCGGTCACGACCCAATTACCTAACTGCAGCCGAAAATACATGTAGTATGTACAATGTCATAGTACACGTAGGACTAGGAAGCCCAGTAATTCCAAAATGGACCATTGCACTGGTGCAGGGGTTAAATGCAAAATTTACAATACTGACACTTTTGTGCCTCTGAAATTTAACAGCAAAAACAGCAACACGTATCACAAGTAAAGTTCATAAATTCAGGAAGTGATTTCCAAAGAAACAATTTAGCTGAATTTTATCCTGCAAACCCTTACTCGTAGGTCTCTTAATTAATACCAGTAAGTCATCAACTAAGCTACTTACATTGCAGGGCATTTTCCATATTTCATATTTACATAGTCCTATGATATTCAATTCAAGGAATCACATTCAATCAGAACTTGGAGACAAACATATGTATACTTTCATTCACTGATCTGTCCCCAGTGTCTCAGTTCAAGCTCTGCAGCTTTGAAGCAATGTAAACGGATGGGATTTGTAGCCAGTCTATGGCTGAACATATCCGGGGCGTTAGCAACCCTTCCCCTGCATTATGATCCCAAAGCTATCTAAACAGCATTGCTGACACATGCAGGCCAAACAATGTTTTAATTCTTGGGCCAGCCGACAGCCTGCAATACAGGCATTACCAACAGGGACGCATCTCTGCAAGCAACCATTTACAGGCGCGGACAAATTCTCAGCATTTAATATTTCTCTGCCAACGGATCCTCTCAACCCTACAACCAATTTTTGCAGAGCTATTTACCATGGGAGCAACCAAACAATGAGTAACAAAGAGGCTTGGGATCTAAACAGAATAGCTCAGTGCTGCATATTCATTGATTTGAGTGTACATGTATTCCAAAATGGACAATCGAAATGTAAAATTTCTCAAAGCAAATTATAGATTTTAAAAACTTTTACAAAATTACAAGCATCACAAGCCTGTCACCATGACAACAGTTACTGTACACATACATGTACCTGCACAGAAAAACATAGTCACAAAAAGCCTGTACAAATGCCTGCTAATCCTTCAAAGATTAATGATAAGGGGGGGTCGATGGCCTAACAGACTTGCATCCTACCAGCTCATTTGCATACTGTCTCCGATCCAGTGCTGTAAGAGGTCAGGCAGAGCATTCTGACGCTCCGCGACACTCAGTCCAGCAGCGCTGTATTTGTAGGGTTGCTAAAGATGTGGAGCAAGCAGCCGTTTCAGTGAATTTTTAATCAGACATTTCCAAGCAGGGAAATTTTTTATTCCATCCCCAATTCCTGTTATTTCACTCTCGTAGGCTTCAAGTGGGTACATTTTCAGGTTGGCATGCTGCCCTACATGTATTTCTGTGTAAACCGTGGAAGACGGGGAAACCAACTGGAAAGTGGTCACTATAAAAACAAATTCTGAATTTTTTCTTAAATTTTGTTGAATAAGTTCTCTTCAGCAATTCTCATTATTTCCTGAGAAAACACTACCACTCTAGGAATGAGATTTCAGAGACAAAAAGTAATTTCAATTTAATCTCTGATAAGGCTTGCTTCCCTTCCTGCCAAAATTGTAATTTTCTAAGTTGTAGATTTGGGCGGCTGGGTGGGTTGATTTCGTAAATTTGCAGCAACAACGCTCTGAACAATCAACCATTCTGGGCATCTGAAGCTATGTTTATTACAGAGCACATCATAATTTCACTGCTCTTCATCCACATGTGGGATGACTACCCAGTACAGCTGGTCCCCTTACTAGGCCAAAAGACCTTGACAATATCAAATGCAGCCAGCCAGTCTACAGTCTGGACAGTAGTCATTTTTTTGCTGGTACACCATAAAATCCTCTTCCATGTATCCAAATACCATGAGGACTGCATGCAATATTAGTATTTGAAGGGGTGCTATGGATTTGAGTGAGAAGAAACACACGTGTCACACACACACACACGTACAGTGGACAGATTTGTAAGCATTCTACATCTCATCTAAAAAAAATAAAACTGTTCATGCTGGCCAATCTACATGTAGGTATGAAAAAATAACACCGTCAAAAACTCACTGCGGAGCCCCTCAGTAATGGTAGATGTATAAGGTTGTTTGAAATGTTAATCTAGTGTTACATTATTCTGAACAGTAGTGGGTACACACCATTAACCCTAATATTCCCCCATCCTTCACCTGTTGGAGGACTGAGGATTTTTAGGGTTAATGTGTACAGGACTATTCCAAGGTTGGTGGTCTTTTACTGCTGGAATTGGTTCCGATACATTCAATACTAGCACACAGCATGAACGGTTTTCAATAATTTTTTTTCAGGAAACCTACCAATATCAAGCTCATGTAACTTTACTGCATGAATTTAACATGACAGTTACATGTACATGTACGTGTTCATTACCTGCAAAAATTCAGATATCTATTTCCTGAAGGCCTAAATAAGAAAAACTGTACAATAGAATACCGAAGTGAATATGTCATGCGCACAATTAGTGTGTAAAAGGCATTAGCGCGAGAACCAGCGCGTGAACCAACACGCGCGCGTACTCCATTCGTCTGCACTGCACTTTCTGGTTCACAGTGACGTTACACTTCAGTACTCTATACCGTTAATTCTCAATGCATGCTGTACAAAATGCATGTACCCCAGTATTTCACATCAGTGCAGTGTTTACAAAATTAAAAACCTTTAAAATCCCACTTAGGAAATAAAAAACAAAACCAGCAGCACTGAAACAGTGACTTGATTTGAAAACAACTCCACTGTCAAAGCACATGCAGAGCAGACCAGAGAAAAGGACCCCATAATGACAGTACCCAGTCTTCATGCATTAAAGCAGTCCGCTATTACCACTGGAAACCAATATACTAATTGGGGCACAAGTACTTTTTTGTCTTTAGATGATACACACACATACCGATATCAGTTTTTGTTTACCACTTTATTTCCAGAAACGAATCATGAAAAATCCCATCACGCATTACGTCATGTTTTGTAATTTGTTTTTTGTTTTTCTAAAATAAACCAATCTCAATCTCAATCTCTTTGATGATCATTTCATTTAAAAGACAACAACCAAAGTGCTCTTCTTTTTTTTTTGAAAACCATTACTCATTCTTAAAGGAACCAGGAAATAGAAATATTTCTATAAACTTTACTAAAAATCCTTGGAATTGCATTTTGGGGTTTCAATTAACCTCATTTTAAATGTTTGTTTTACAATTTTAACCCATATTTTGATGCTTTTTTGGTTTTATGCTAATGCATATTTGTATATTCACGAGCAGAACTATGATGTCATCCAAGGCACTGAATCTCAATGTTGCACTGATTTGTGCACAGAAACTTTGTAGATTTTTTAACCACTGCTATGGCAGATTTTATTTTCTTTGGCAATTTATTGCTGTATAAATATATGGCAATAATCCAGCAAAAAACTTTTCACAGTAATGTTCCCAGATAGCAAATTTGAAAATTTACAATTTGAACATAAAAACATGCAACCTGAACCATGTCTTCCTGGATTTACATCAAAGCAAAAGCGCCCTCACTTGTCCAGAAATGCTTGGTCTATTTCTAATGTTTGAAAAAGCGCACCGTTCAGATCACATAACTCAAAAAAGATGTCAAACAGTCTTCATACATGGAAAAAGTGATTCTAAGAAAAAATTCATTTCTCGGTTCCTTTAAATGAAAAAAAAAACTACTACTGCATCATTTTTTTCTCTTTGAATTTTTGCTTTCAGGAAATGAAATTCCTAACATACATGTAGCATGGAAATCTTGCCCAGAATATTTCTGTAGCTTCCACATATTTCACACCTACTGGATTAAACTATGCATTATCAATGTACATGTACTAGTACATGTACAAAGTGAATACTGTGCATCAGAGACAGAGCATCACTTAAAGTGAAACTGAAAGCACTGTTTACCAAATTCTTTAAGTCTACCCTCTGAACAAACAACCGGGTGTTGCCGCAATGTCTACATGTGTGCTTTGTCTAAACTGTTGTTACTATCAATGCGCAACCCACTGCACGTATACCATTTTACATGTATGCATCCTTGAGTACTGAGCACATGTCCTGTACATACAGCATTTGTACATGTTGCAGGCCTCGGGCATCCTATGGTCTCTACCAACTACAATTCATGAATCAACTGGTAACTCATGAAGCACTGCCAGTGGGCTGGCGTGCATGCCCATACTTTGCAACATGCATGACATGATAAATCCCACACGTTAATAGGTACAGGTACTGTAGGTGAAAACATCGACTTACTGCCCTCTATTGACCACTGGTACAAGTATAAATGTTTCAATAAAATGGTGTAATATTAAGGCTTAAAGTCCAGTTGACCTTTAGTTTGTATGGCAGATTGCTCAAACTAAATTTACTACATAGACAAGTAACTGGGAAAAACGCTAGAAGTCATTACTATGGGGCCATCCTGTGAACACAAGGTGGTACGCACGCGTTGCATTCCTCTCCAACCAACAGGGTGTCATGAGTTGCCACAGTGCGAGCGCATGCTCAAGTTAATACATGTATGTGAGTGTAATGACGTCTCCTCAGATTTGTCTTTACCGACGCCGTTATATCAATTCTGACAAAGCTTCTGTAAGTGTTGCACAGAATGCACTACAGGTGCACGTCTGTCCCATGTGAAGCAACAGTGTCAATGCTTTGTTGACCTTCCTGAATCCTCCAAAATCCTACCGGTACGAGCAGATTTTAACAGAGTCTGGGAGTGTGAGGGTTAATCCGCTGCCTGTGAGAACAAGAGATGGTGTGGTCCAACATAGTGAAGACGATCCTTTGATGGGACCTCATTGCAAGCATGCACAGCTTCATGCGCACTTGCCGTAGGTCACATTAGGCATTTGTACCCCGTTTATGTTGGAATGTCTCCCTGTGTCTCTGCTTTGCTTGTGGGGGGGGGGTTGCTTCAGGTTGATGTGGATGCCTAAATACAGCTTTTACTGAGATTATCGCATTAATGCTGATGAAAGAATGCCTTTGAGAACATTTCCACAACAAACTCCAACCTGACCCCTTTCTTTTTAATCTAAACTCTTACCTCCACCACCATCTTTTACAGAAAGCTTCTTGAATCTTTCACTATGTAATGTACATGCAGAAAACTGGGATATTAAGCCGTGCGTTGCTCGGCAGACTTAAAACATATCAATATCAAACACCGCGTAGCCAGGAGTTGTATATAAGCCTATTTGCGGCATTCAAAGAATTCTATGAGGGTAATTAGGAGCAAACGTAATTACAAAATGCCCAAATGGCCGACTGTATTCCAAATTTAACTAGCAAATTGAAGTTGGTGATGTCATTGGCACCACATTTCCCAGAATGACATTTTATCAGAAAGGAGGATTTCGCATACTGACAAGACATACATTTTATGCTATGCAGCATATTTGTTTCCTGTTGAGATATCTACAGCATACACACAAAAATGAAAAAAGTGTGGAGTAACATACAACGAATCCAATATATACATATATCTCATCAGCTGGATAAATACATTGGTCTTAGATTATCCTCTACCTTAAAAGGAGAGGGAACACCTGTCTCCACTATTTTATAACTGATATATTTAGCTTAATATCGTAACTATCATTAGGCCACTAGAAATTTAAAGTAACAGACACATGTGAACAACCTGTGGGGTCATTTCCGAATAAAACTTTTTTTTAAAAAAAAGTGATAAGGCCCCCCCAAAAGTCTTTCATCTCTGGTCAGCGAGAGCTTCAATTTCAACCATGCACGTCAATCTTTTTTTCCTCTGCAAGGGCTGCAACAACGCCCTCTACTGCCACACTGCCTCAACATTTTTGCGGGCAGCTCGATCTTTTACTCAGGGTGATAGATCCTGACAAGATCGATGTTGAACAATGAAAGCAGACAATGGATATGAAGTTGTTTGTCAGCTTATAATCATAATAAAGCTGGTCTAGTCCAATGACTCAACAAAGTGTGTCTTAAATTGTCTGTACAATCCAATCCTGGAAGAGAGAGAAAAAAAAGCTGCATCGCCGCATCAATTCCAGAACATCAGTCTGACCAGAAACAATTTTTTTTGGCCTTAACTTTCTTGTTACTACATGTGTGGGTAACACAGGGCCTCCACATCTACAATTCAAGGGGAGACCCCAGATTTTTCAGAATGGATGACACAACTGCATGCCAAGTTAAAATGTGTAACTTGATCAACATAAACATGCGGAACAGATTCCTGAGTTTAGCTTGTAAAATGGTACTGTCAGGCCAACTTTCCAGAAGAGAGATGTTTGGATCCGTTCCATATCCCCATACATCAACTGAATTTCACTGAAAATATGTGTAGAAAAGCACCTACAGGCTTACAGGAAAATTGTTTAAATATTTTTTATCTTTTTTAGCTTTTCCAACAAAAACACCTCAGTATTTTCAGCATTAACATTTTAGGTGTCTAATACAACACTTCAGTAAGTGTCCATGGGGATGCAGACATCTCTAAATTTACAAACCAATGCAGTTGGGAATTATTAACTAAAAGCAACTTCAACTTTATCTTGTAAGTGTACTTACCACCACCATGAATGCAGAAACCCCGGTGGTTCTCCTAACGTTATATTCTTCTCCCACCTAATCTGTGGAGTCAATTTGAAAGAAAAAAAGGGCAAAATTTATACATGGTGGCTCATCCAGCTTTATTTACGTACCCTAGAAGAGGACTTGGAGGAATATTAAAAAAAAAATTAAGGCACAAATGAGGGACTGTTCTGATTAAGCCACTCTGAAAACACAAAACTCTGGTAGTACTGGTTTGTGCTAGTGTTCAGGAAATGCACCCTATGTGACTTGGAAGGGCTTACTTTCTGCACTTGCCTCACACTGATGATAGCCCCGTCCCAGCCAGATTAAATTTGCAAGATAATTTTTGTATAATCTGTAATGTAATCTATAGAATTTTCCGGGAGTCACAAAAAGTTGTGCACTTTGTGGAATATCTGCCTTACATAAAAAATATTAATTTTTTCACCTAATTTATTCCCTCCCAAATATAAATACACATGACTGAGATAAACAACAGATTTTGGAAGTAAAGCGTTGCTTGAATAAGAGGAATAGATGATTTATTGCTATATCTGAGTTACTTTGATTAACCCCCAAAAGCTTTACTAATTTTTGCATAAATATACATACAATATTTTCCAATTTCATTTGGACAAAGAAATACTATACTTTTTAAGATTCCAGGCAGGTGAAATATTCACCTGTTAACCTGATTAACAGATCACTGAAATATTTCCAAGTTTGGCACAATGTGACTATTTTCCACTGTGTTGCCAGCCCAGGTGGCCAATGATTTATTGACACATCAGGAACCACGGCACTGATTGTTTTAACACTTAACATTGTCCAGCAGAGAGTGAGGAGGGTTAATCTGGGTGATCTTCACTCAACACCCCGCCCCAAAGTGGATACTCAGAACAAAGGATTTACACCAGTGGAAAACACTGCCAAGGCTTTGCTGGTTTCATATCGAAGTATTGAAGTTACCTTTCTTGAAAGTACAGAATCACACAGTCCAGCTATACAGGGCACGGCACTTTAGTTAACAGAGACATGGTATAAAGAGCCAGTTTAAATATACCAGTATGAACTGTGAAAAAGGTCTGCTTTGGGAAGGAGAATCCAAAATACATTTAATACATGTATGCCCTCTTTACTGAGCTTGCAGACAGCTGTATAGTGGCTGGTAGCCCAGTTAACTCTCACAGTGTACTGAGCACTCAGGACTGGGCCTCCTCGTGTGATGTCAATGTCAATGGAGTCTCTCACATACTGAAGGTATTTCCTGATATATCCTCCCAATTGTTCGTGCAACTTTCAGACAACTTGAACAAGTTGATTTCATTCTTTTCCACCTAAATGGGCCTTTTTTCCACTGCCTGCCATGTTTAAATGCGTTTTGGAACTTCGGAATGAACTGTGTAGTTCAAGCATACCTTAAAACAGTTCATTTTTTAATTCAAAACTGCTTGAAATTTCTGACTCGGTGCATTCAGTTAATAAGGGAATAAATATATGTGCTTGGCCGGTACCAACCAAGCACATATTTATTCCTGTTTTAAGTATCTTTTAGTCAGAGAGTCAAAAGAAGTCAATTTACAATTAATTTCCGAGGAATTTGTTATAGAATTTTACTTTTATTTTCTATTTTATGTATATTCCTCATGCAAGTGGTGGGGCAATCTCTGCAAACACAGTCTAAAAAGTTAACATGGTGGGAGCAAAGATGATGTAATGCAGAAAATTTATAGATTGCCAGCATTGTGGTCCAATTATGGATTAAAAAAATTGATCCTCCAAATAAAAAATATCTTTTAAAGTGAGGCTACATGTATAGTGAAATAGTAAGGTTCCTTTCCATTACAGAGTGCTCAATAAATGAAGTAAATTCAGGACGCTTGACTCAAACTGATCATCTTGTATATTTTAAAGCAAATTATTTTACGAATATCTGAGGGGTACAATAGTACAACATGTCGCGGTGGGGTGGTACCTTTGTACATGTAGAGGCAAAGTTTGAGCCACCTTCCCATCGCCCCACCATCAACAGGCCACGTCACATCGATAGTTGTTTTACACCAGGGCATTTCAAAAAATCCTCATTTTGCCACATTACAAGTTTCAGTAATATGAAGTTCCGTGCTTTGACAGTTTCCCTCTGGATGTGCATGTGTCCACAGTCAGTATTACATGACCAGTCAAAATTGATCAATTTCCACAAAGACAAACTTCATCTATCACCACTACGCACCTAACTTGTCTCTCAGTAAAAACAGAAAATTCTCCTTTGAACTCAGGAGTATGAGCACCGATGATAACATGGTTGATAAGTAAGATACTGTGCGATCTACAACTTACAAGTAAGCATGCGAATGTAACATGTGGAACTTGGTCAGAGGAAAGAAAGGAGAAACAGGACCAAAAAGCTACGAAAGTTACAAAATGCTGTAAGAATGATAGTATATTCTTGCCTTAGTGTGTAGAACTTATTTCAAAATCTGATAAAATATGCAATGCAGTTAAATACAATGCGCGATGCATGTGCTCAGCACTCCATCGCGTTGGTTTACTATGCGGGCACTAGATGGCGTTCGCCATTGTACTCAATCCACATGCACACATGGGCAGTGTACACGATGAATGCATTTATACACAAAACGTATGGTCCGTGCAGTCAATGAAATCCAACATGGAGATGTACCCCGCCAATTGCACCGACCGACCCACGAATGTCATCAACTCACCTCCGACAGAAATGTCTGTGCGCTTTTCTGTGCCCCGACATGGAGTAAATATTCGTATACATAGAGAGCTAACCTGTGTAAAGCAGTAAAAAGAGAGAAAATTGGTCATTTTCTGAGTTCAACGGAGGGAGATGTGCAGGTACTGCACAGTAAATGGAACAGCGAAAAGTGGGGGCATCCCTTTCAAAACACGTCTCTCTGTGTGATTCTTAGGTCAAATCGCAACGAATTTGGCATCAAACCACATCAAAACATACCCGTAGATTCCAAATTTATGATCAGAATGAGCGAAAAATGAACAGAAACTTACTTTTCCCTTGCTTGGCTGTCTGAAGGTACAGTAGAACCCTTTCCTTTAGGGAACATGCTGGGGAGCTGAACTGTCATGTCACGCACCTGTCAAGTAATCAGGGCTGACTATGACCCCGGTCCCATGGCAACAAGTTGATGACCCGTTCATTTTCAGCCCATGATTGGTCACCCGATAAGAATATTGTGGGGGAATAGAAACCGTTGGATGCTGGCACTGGATTACAAGCAGCGTTCATTCATAATAATTTATCAGCGAAGTTTTAGGCGGGTTCATTTTGTGAAGTTTCAGCCAGATTTTCTCGGCGAGAATGACACGATTGTGAACTCGTTTTTTTTTACTAAAAGTAATGTACCTGGCGTATACTTTCTTGAGCATTCAAGACAATTCTCAGTTTAACATTGACTAAAATCGAAAATACCGCCTGATATAGACCGACAGATGGATAATCACTTACGAGCATTTGCCGGGCGTCTGAACGACAGCGCTTTGTCGGCCGCACTTTGTCATTAATTTCATTTCCGGAACATAACTTAAAATACGTTCATTTATTTTTAATTACTTTAACAAGAGAAAGTAACCGCGTTTGTCACCATGAAAAACACGTCCTAAAAGAGAAACTATATGGGAGTTAGATAAGTTTACCTCATCGAAACATGCGTAATTTAGGGTAATTGATGGGCGTAACTTTTAAACACTTATTAAATTAAATGCTTTGAGGAAATATCTACGTGGTTCAGTTCTACTGAAGTAGTTTTTTTTTACTTTTCGTCAAAATGTTTATGGTTTTCGTCCTCCCGCTACCTCCTCCTATAAGCTGTTAAATCGCACTAACGTCTGCCATTGAGCGCCACTGTATAAACGCAAGTTTAATTGAAACAAAGAGCTCAATCGACACACTGCGAGTAACCGCAAGCGCTTGTTGTACACGTACATGTACACGAACTTATGCATGTGGGTTGTGGACATGTGAATATGTTAACATGTGTACATGTAAAGTACATTGCACATGGACTACATGTACAAGTACATGTGTAAAGTATACCCTCACCAGAAACGCGCACTCAGACGCTAGAGCGTGAGAGTTGGTGTTGCAGAAGTACTGTACATGTACTGTACATGTTCAGATATATGTACATGTACATGTATACGTAGTACAAAATTAGAAACCGCTATGGAACCAAAATGGGGGGCGGAGTTATGAAAACCAATGGTTAGGATTTTCTCGGTATTAGTTTTGCTTTACTTACTCCCTTCGAGATCACTCATTGTGGTACGGTGTGTGTGTGTGTGCGTGCATTGGCCTGAAGACAAATATGTGCATACGTGAAATGCATTCACGCGTGACCTTTCACAAAAGATGGCGGATGGGACCGTGAGTTGTGAAGAATTTGGAAGAAATGTTTCTGAGTTTTTGCAAGTGTCCAGTCTTCTTAAAGATGGCTGGGAGCTTCGGGACGCAGAGGTGTGTAATGTGTTTATGTGCTTGTGATCTGCATCAATCACTGTAGGCCTTATGGTAGTTCTTCCTAAGTTTTCAAGTTAGCCTAGGCCTATTCAACCCAAGTGTTTAAGCATGTTAAGCCTAGTACAATATTTCGCCGTGGCAGTACGGACGTAGCGGATTTATCATGTAGGCCCTACTCATGGTACTAGATACTTTGTAGGCCTACAATTTGTAGCACTGACCGGTTGACATTTGGAAAAGAGCCTTACTTTGCACTTCATCCGTTTCGTGAAGAACGTACTTTGCGCGGTTGTATGAATAGGAAAATAGTCCTGCTCATTCAGCTTTGTGCATGGACTTAAGTATATTGATGGACTAAAGTATATTGATAAATACTATACTATAGGCCTAGTTTTACAGCAAAATTAATCAGGCTATTCCTTAGGCCTACCTGCCATCACCAGAAGTCACTAGGTCCCATATTTGGCCACTGAAAACCAATCAGAGATGACAGTTGGCAACGAAATTGGGGACTAGGAACGTGAGAGTGGGGCAGACGTCGGACATTCGGACCCCACAGTTCTGGTAGTAATGATGGACCTTGTGACTATACTGTGATACGGTCTGCAGGCATTGTACCGGTATGTGATGGATGTTAGTCCAAACCTAGAACTGTGGGGTTCGCCGTTGTCTGCCGCACTCAACAAACCTCACAGCTCTGGGAGTGGGCAAGTCAAATGGGCCTAGGCTAAAAAAGGGAAAACAAAAGGCCTACAGGTAAGACTAAAAGCCCGGTATGCAAACATCACTAATTTTTCCCTTGCAGTGACATGCATACATGTGTCAGCCATCAGAAGGTGATAACAAAATCTAAAATGTCAAATTTAGCAAGGAAAATTTGGAAGTATTTACTCAGAAAGGTTCTCAGACCAGTCTCATCTCGGTTTGTGCACAGGATGGTTATGGTATCTTGTTGTTTTAAACAGTAAGCCTGGAACGACTTTGCTTTTGAATAATTCCATTTACAAGTATTTAAAAACCTGTTAAATGGGATGACAGTCTGTTCGTTTTGACACAAAACATATCCAGAAGTGGCAGAAGATCCATCTGCTGTTTTTGGAAATCAGTTGTGATAAAAAAATTATTATTATCCATCTCCATTTTTCAAAAACTTCCAGGCCAGAAGTTCCTGTAATTCAAAGGCACTGCTACATTATCCCTCCTTATTGGGCTCGCAACATCTGAACATTCCTGTAACCATCTCAGCTCCCTTGAGAGTATACTAGCCTGATGCTGTCATATCAGGTGCAAAACAACATGACCAACCATAACTGCCCTCACAGGTGCCCATTTACTCCCGAGTGGGGAAAGGCACATAGAGGTAAAGTGACTTGCCCAAGGTCCCAATGTACTGCCACTTGTTGAATTCAAACCCCCGACCCTATGATCAGAAGTTACAAACCCTAGCCACTAAGCCATATGCTCCAACACCATCACCTTAGGCCATCGTTCCTCAATGCAACAAATTTTAACAAGTTCATGTTGTGACATACTGAATCAGCCAAAATTTGACAAAACCTATGGATGGAGTTTTGATGGACGTAGGGTAGTTGAGGTTGAAGATACAGTCATATAGTGAATGACTTCAGACTGCTCTGAAAGATTCTAGAAAAGCTAGACAAGTCACAACCAGCATTCAGTGACCCTTATACTCCATCTACACACCTGTCTAAAAGGTCACAAAACATAACCCAAATCTCACAGAGGTTGGTAAGAGTCTGTGACAAGTGAACATGAGGTTGGGGGCTCAAATCCAGGAAAAATGAGTCAATCTCTGTAAAATTCCACATTAACCCTAACCTCGTGAAGGTCGTGGGTTAGACCTTGTGTTGTTCTTACTCAGTCATGCATAAACTCAGCCCGATATTTCTCTTGAATTAACCACACTGCTCAAGAATGCCATTTGCTCTGCTTCAACATAATGACAGGAATTGCTGGAGGATTTTGAAGGATTGAGGCAGTAGGCACACCTCCAAGTAACATTTTCAAGAAATTTTGGAGGATTTTGAAGGATTGAGTGAGAATCCAATTTTTTTTACCCCAAAATTGGAGGATTTGGGAGGATTGAGGAAGGTCCCTAGCAAAAAGGGCCTAGGGGGTTAGGGTTAATAGTTTGGGGAAGGTCAGACCATTACATGGATTGAAATTTAAGGTTGGCAGTACACATACTGAAATCATTTGTAGCCATCTTACACAACTAAATGACAAGACGACCTTAGCAGTAAGAATTCAACATCTCCGTCAGTTGCATTGTAGTTATGTTGTAGTGTGGAGGTTATGTTTTTGTAGTCGTCCATTTCCATAAGTTGTAGCTCATCAGTTACATGTTATGGTGCATTATTTATGTTGCAGTCCGTAAATCATGCTGAAGTCCAACAGTTATTGCCCCTAATACAATATGTTGTATTCCGTAAATTTACATACAAGTACAGGTATGTTGCATCCATAAATTGTGCCGTAGTCCATAAAGTTATGTTCTAACTTTTTTTTTACAAATTCACTTTGGCATGTGTGAACAGCCCCATACATACTAAATTGTGTCATTCTACAGAAATGCCCCGTTGTTTCCACTGTAACTAATTCAGTAACTCTGCAGCATGTTAACATTATGCAGAGGGATCTTTCACTATGTGGCGCCAAGATCATTATGGGCTTGGACAATGAACAGACTAAGAGCAAACCAGAGAAATGCAGGATTTTGGTGGTCGGGTAGGAAAATAGTGTGAGTTTATACTTTCACACGCTCCCACATATATGCCTCTGATTCCTTGAATACCTCTCTCACATCTTGTCTCATCTTATGGCAACCTTGGACTGAGGTGCCTATTGCTACTAGACCTGTCTTACCTAGTCTCCTTTCTTACATCAAGGGGGGATTGGTTTGAAAGTTACTAGTGCAGGTACAGCTATTTCTCTCTTCCATCAGTTGTAACTTTTTTTTGTCTTAAAGAGGCTTAAACAAGAAAATCAGTCCTCTGTGCATGTACATGTATGCCCACAAGTCCCTTTCCTCCCCCCCTTGCTTCTTCCATGAAGCCAGGTTGGGTATTCTAAAGGTCACATAAATTATACTTTTTCTCCCCTTGTGCAAGAGCTTGTTCTCCTGGCAGAGCATGGTCAACAGGGCGGAACCACTCAAAGAATTGAGTAGAGCCTTAATGGCCAACAAAGATCAAAAACATTACTACTCATAAAGTACATGTTGGGTGTGCAATACCTTCACTTACAATATCTTTTCATACCTTTAAGAATCCTGAATACCTATGGTACTGGCTGTAAACTTTCTCTGAGAGGTCCTGATAAAGTTTAACAAATTAGGAGCTTTATGTTGCACTCACGTTTTTGTGGTTTTGTTTTGGGTTTTTTTGTGCACCAATCAGCACATATAAGACTCCTTCCGTTCTCCTTTCTAAATAAGAAAACAGCAGAAAAATGAAAAAAAGGAAGAACAAAATTTGCAAAATGAGACTACTCAAAAAATTTGTCTCATCCTCTAAGCCACATTATGTCTTTGAACCTTGCATCTGGTAAAAACTGGCAGATTGTCTTCGTTTGTTTGCATTTTTTTAGGTGATAGGCCCATGGCCGAAACAAAATCTCAGTACATGTAAACAACTCCACTCCCCAATTGGTCATTTTGTGTTTAATGGACATCCAGAAATTTTGTGTTTTGTGAAGCTAGTATTCTCTTGAAATTTCATAATCTCCCCAAGATTTTCATTTCAGTTTATCAGATAATAAATTTGAGTCAAAAGCTGTGCTTGTGTTCTTCAAATCATTGAAAATCC